TCGTAACAAGCCAAAGCGGACAAGTCCGTGTGGCATCAATACTTTTAAACTTAGGTCTATCACTTCTCTATTTTCCCTTTTTTGATCCGATTATAATTAAATATTGTCACGGTTACCATTTAAGTATCCGTGTGCGTCAAATTAAGTTTAACATATCAGCATTAATAAACAACCTAGCTGGAGGGCAAATATCAAACTATATAGTAAAGTTTGTATAAAAATTTTGACCATTAAAAATGAAGGTACAAATAATTTTACATTATGAAGCTACATTAAAAACAGAATTAATATTGTCGGTAGGTGACTCAACAGACAACAATAATTAAATCGAAATTTAATGAACCCATTACATCATTTAATATTGCTATTACAGTTCTACAAATTTGTCTAAATTTTTTTATATGGTTCAAATAAGATAATTAGTTCAATATTTATTTAGTAATATTCTTTCATATTTAATTAAGGGCAAATTAAATGTAAAAATGATTGCATATTTAGAGGATGGATGATAATAATGGCAAAATTTAGAACCAAAACTTAACATAATTGATGAAATGAAGAGATTGGGTATGATGAAATAATTGGCTGTTCAACGCCATTGGAAAGAGCAGAGTGTTAGGTGGATGAGTCAATCACTCAAACAAGAAGAAGACGACTGGAAAAAGAGAGGAGGCCTCGTGTGAAATAATTCAAACAATTCATATTTCCAATCATATGAAAAGGGAAGCAAAAATTAATGAATAATGAATGTGGCAGCCATTTCTGAAGACTTGGCTACCAAAAATTTATGTTCTGCACGTCTAAGCTGGCTTGGAACAGCCCTACCGTCATTTGACATTCAAACAACAAAACAACTGAATCTTTAATGCATCGAGTTTTGGGTTCCAAATTCCACACTATTAAAGTCAATGCATTGCTGTCCCTATCCACCATTCTTTTTTTTGGATTTATGTTCAAGCTGTTTATATGGGTGGAGAAAAATGGTGGGTTTTGAGTTTTAGAGGGAGCTGAAGTTTGTTTGGTCTCTGTTTTCATGGCTTGTTTCTGGGTTTGTTCTAGGCCACAACACAAAAAACCCATATCAGATTCTGTGGAGAATGTCCAAAAGAAGGAGCTTTTGAGGAGTGTTGTTAGTGGGGAAGAAGAGTTCAGCTCTGATAGCTCCAAAGCTTCGTCTGAAAATGGAAACAGAGTAATGGTGGTTGTGGATTGGAGCGTTGAGGCTGAAGGGGCTTTGGAATGGACGCTCTCTCATGCTGTTCGGAGTCACGACACCATTGTTCTTGTTCATGTTCTCAAGAGTTTGAAGACTCAAGGTGAGAATTTCAGAGATTTGTGTTTCTGGGTTGAGATGGAACATGGCAGTGATTGTTTTTGTTTCTTATTTTTGCAGGTTTTGAGTTTGGGAATAAGGTGAATTCCACAAAGGAGGCCTATAAGCTTCTGTTTTCTATGAGAAACATGTGCTTAAAGAGAAGGCCTGAGGTAACTTCATGTTAATACTATGCTTATAGACATATGCATACCAATATGTATCTAAATGTGTACAACTCAATTGCTTGAGTAGGTGCAAGTAGAGATGGCATTACTAGAAGGGAAAGAAAGAGGTCCAATAATTGTGGAAGAAGCAAAGAAGCATAAACTCTCTCTTTTGGTACTTGGTCAAAGAAAGAGGCTGATTCTTCGGCGTCTATTGAAAAGATGGGCGACAGGACGCTATCGAAGGAGAAGGAAGAAGAAGACTTGTCGAGCAACGGCGGAGTATTGCATTCAGAACTCATCTTGCATGACCATTGCAGTGAGGAAGAAGAGCAAAAAGATTGGAGGATATTTGATCACGACCAAACGTCACAAGAACTTCTGGCTCTTGGCTTGATCTTTTTTCTTCTTTTCTTTTCTTTTTGTGTATCATATTCTTTCACCTTCTTAGGTTTATAAAAAGGTTCTTAAAAACTGTAGTTTCTGTTCTACAAAGAGTGATAAAAAGATCCAGCTCTACAATTCTATTGTTCAAACAAATTGTTTAGTCAATCAGATTCTATAGCAGAGGTTGATGAAAGTTAGTCGGCCGTCCTTCAAATGGAGGGACCGATACAGATTGTTAGGCTGGATTGATCGTCTTTCTTCGACAGACCGAGATTTAAAGGAAAAACAGGAAGAGAAACTGTAAGAACAGAACCAACAAATGTATTTTATTTTCAACTTGAAGTCATGAATTACATAAACAACCAACAAATGTAGATGTATTTGAACTATACACAGACAAAGGCATCGAATTCTTTGTAAATTCTAGGAGGGCATTTTCTAGTGAATAAACATCTTCAGCCTTTTAATTCCCTAGATCTACTTCAGGTTCAATTATGAAGTTGAACCAGAAAATAAAAGTTGAACATACCACTTTCGGTCATTTCGAGGCTATTTGATGTTGTTGCCCGCCATAGGAGTAACCATGTCGACATGCAATTTCGTGCAGTTGATCATAACCTGCAAGAACACCAGCCCCTGCAACACCAACAAGCATATTGGCAGTGACTCCTCGAAAAAGAGCAGCGATACCCTCATGGCGAATGATCTCGGAGAATGCATGTAAAGCACTGCGGTACTTCAGGGTTTGTCCAGAGGTAAGCATCATTCTTCGTCGCAGCGTGTCGAAAGGATAAGCGCATACCCCAGAAAATGTTGTGATACTCCACCCCAATAAGAAACTAGCAAAAAAGTTCCCCTGCATAAAACAATAAACCACAAACTTTCAAGAACATTGAAGGAAAGGTCTAAAAAAAAGCAACCAGATAAAGTGAAGATGTCCATGTTTATGATAGTAAGATGTTGTATTTCTCCAACAAGCAGCTCCCAAGACTATCATTTGTGGAAAACTGGCTAATTGATGCACAGAATAGAATAGATGCTTTTACCTCAAACTGCCCAACAAGAACAAGAGGCTTTAACGTGTCGTAAATCCCAAAATACATGCCCCTATACAGAGTAATTCCCACAATTGAAACACTAAATCCTCGGTATAGACCAACAATTCCATCACTTGACAAGGTTTTTCTGTAGACATCCAGCAACCCTTTAAATTGGCGCTGGCTGTTTCTGCCACCGTCCGTTGCATCGGTGCCTAGTCGAGTACGTGCATAATCCAAATGATACAGAAAAAACGATGTTGTTGCTCCTGCAGCACTTCCTGAAGCAACATTTCCAGCAAACCACTTGATGTATCCGTCCTTCTCTTTTGAGCGCCCGAATTTCGTTTTGAAGTAACCTTTGAATGCAAAGTTGAAAGCCTATGGGCAATTCAAATTCTCTTCTGTAAAAGCATTTGGAGATGATATCGTAAAATTAAAGCTTTGGTCATTAAAAGTAACAATAAACCATAATTCTCAATCAGTTCATTAGAATCTTGAATATTCTCCAAAGTGTCATCAATCAGAATGCATCATAAACCTTCATAGGGATTAAGGTTACATTAGTTCCTGAATCTGTGGTCATAAATTCATGATTTCAGCCAAATGCTAATTCAACTTTATGCTAATGCTACTAAATGAAAGAGGCTACAGAGAACAACGAAAAAGGGAATCCATAACCAGAAAAGTAACAATGAATCCAATATAAAATTGGCAGTAAAAGCTTGTGTAGCTGCTGAAAGAAATGAAGCTTTTGTTGCAGAGAGAACAAATTGAAAGTTCATGAAAAGAAGTACCTGAGTAGGGAAATATCGAATAACGTTAGCCTGATTTCCCCTCCATAGTGACAACGGCCCTTCTTCTCTCAAAACTCTTCTGAAACAGTCATGAATGCCCAGATATGGCTTCTTAAGATGCCCTCTCTTTATCATCTCTCCCTGATTCTGCAACAGAAGCTTGACCCGTTCAATCGGCGCCGCTGCACTTTTAGCCACAATCGCGGCGACACCACCCATCACAAAATCAGCTGAAAATTTCTCGGATTTGGTCGCCATTAGTTTCTCTTCTCTCGCTGCAGAAGGAATTGCAAGAAAACATTTAAACCCAATACAGAAGAGAGGAAACAAAAACAACCCATCAAATTAGAAATAGCTAAGAACCATAAAACGTACGATTGAGAGAAGAAGGCAAATGGGAGAGGAGAGAGATAGAGAGAGAGAGAGATGAAAATGGCGGCGTGAATTGGATTGCCGAGGAAAAAGGCGTGGATTTAACTTTAACAAATTGATTCCCTTTCATCTATTTTACATGCTCCTCCCACAGCCTCTTTCCATAAAAATAAAATTACAAAAATAAATAATAATATTTGATGCTTAAATTTTTTTTTTTAAATTTTGTACCAAAATAAATTAAATTATTTCTAATTTTTTAAAAATGATTTTCGCTTATATCTAATAAAGATAGTATTGAATATTTTATGTCTAATAGATCCTTCAACTTTCAATTATCTAACAAATTTATTGGTAGACTCGAATTAATTATTAAACACAAAATAAAATCTATGACCAAAATAATAGAATTTCGAGTATCAATCCTAGCATTAAGATAGAGGAACATATATCATGAGAAGTGTCATTTCAATTTGTGAATCCTATCAATACTTGTCTTAAACGCGTTGTCTATGGTCGCATGCTCGTTGCAGCCAAAACCCTTGAGTTGTATCACTTTTTGGATTGTATTTTCTAAGAGTACGACGTACATTATTTTCTTTATTTATCTCAAATGTTAGCTTTCAAACTCCTTTTCTAAATTTTTTTTGAACCTCCGTTCTCTAAAATTTTCGACTTAAAACAATGTTAGATGCTTGGGTATACGTCATCAGGCTGAATGCGACAAAATTTCGAGTTGGCTCACTCACTGAGTGATAAGAGTGAGCGTCGCACAATCGCTTACAAACGTCCTGTAGAAGGTCCTAAAAATGACCAATACAATCCATTCTATAACCTATGATCTTCCTTTCTTATATCATACATGAATCCTCAGAATTTCTTCCGAAGCTATGAGGGTTGTTTTGATCATCTAAACTGCATCAGAAAATGAGAGAGATGTGCTCCATACTTGCAGAACAAGATGTCTCTCTAGCGCACAACCAAGCATGGCTCGTTGCCATTACACACCAACATGGGGAAGGCTAGATACATCATACATACAAAATGAAATAAATACTTCCTCTTCAACATTTCCATAAATATGTTTATTACAAATAAATGACTCGAGTAACCCTATAGAAAACGCTATTATGCCCTACAAACTATCAGAGAGAAATGCCAGATGATACCAAATGAAGCAATAACCTGTGCTGAAACTTAGGCTAGCATCGATCGCCTGAAACTTATGTTTCGAAAACAAACGACTGAAGACGTGACCTTGCAGCTGCAGCAGCAGCAATAGATTCTTCATCTTGCCTTGCCTTTGCAGCAGCAACAGCAGCTACATAGTCTTGTCTTGCTTCTTCCATTTCCTGCATTTTCAGATCGTCCAGATCATCCTGAATCACAGGAGAAATAGTCTCAGTCGTTAGAGGTCAACAATGAAGATCAGGTACTTGTGACCAAAAACAAGCTAATATTTTATGCAAAAGTGACAGCATGATACGCTTGAGCACAGAAAGAATAAGTATGCTAATCTTTCCAATCAATAAAACATATGGCATATCGAACTGCAGATGGGAAGGGGCTTATGCATAAATCATAAGAGCATAGAAAAGAACATCATACAATGTAAGGACAGCTCTCCGGGAGATACACTGAAAGACTATAATCTTCAACACGTTCATTGCAATCATTCTTTGACAAGCCTTCGAGTAACAGCATAAACGATGAAACGTCTCCTTGCGATGACTTTAGCTCTTCTTGAAGTTCTTCTATTTTTGAATTTGATGTCATTACCTCCCATTGTATCTTCTCCAACGCAGCTTGCTTATCTGCAAGCTTAATCTGCATATGAAAATGAATTATGTAATGATTTGTACAGTAGTTACTCATCCATCTTTGTTACATAACCAGAAGATTTACAATTGGAAAACTACAAGGAATCCGTTTTTGGAAATGTTTTCAAGATGGTGGGATTCACCGATCGACACAAGTTACTTATGATACTTATATTCGACCTCAACAAAACAAACCCGACAAAATGATACTTATTTCAATGAACAAAATGCAATTCATGGGAACCTTTGCATCTGAAAGTTGGGAATGAATCATCTTTATTCGAGAATCCTTCTCTGCAGACTGGAGATTCAAAGCATTGAGTTTTGCGTAAACGTTGTTCATCTGGTCCTTCGACATCTCGGCTGATTTTAGAAGTTCATCCTTTTCAATCAATTTCTTTCGCAGATCTTCCACTTGTTCTCTCAATGTGATTAGTTCTCCTTTATCCCTTTCAGAGACCAGAGAACTTGAGGAGAAAACCGAAAAGCCATCGGCATCTGAATTACTATCAACATTGTTACCCTGGTCCTTGTCCCCATGGTCTTTCTTCTTCTTGGTTGGAATAGATTGGCCATTATGCCTTCCTTTCTGTTCCATCTGCAAAATACCCACAAAGGGAGTAAAAATTCATCAATTGAGGAATGCACAAAAACCGAGAGACAGTGACAATGGAAAACAAGCTGATATTAGGATATTGGCAACAAAATAAGCAAAGATTATAAAATCATGGGGCTCTGCGCTTAAATTAACAGAATACATCACAAACAATTCAGTAAACTCATCCTGCCTTGAAATCAAAGCGCCATATACCAATCGATGGATTCATAAAATCAGAGATAAAGTGTATACAAGAAATCACAGAACAGTTTAACTGGTTACCTTCCTGTGTAATGATTCTCTAGAAGGTGTTTTAGTGTAAATCATTGAACCCCGCTTCCTGAATGAACTGCTCGCTTTCCGATCCTAATTCAAAACAAATATCCATAAACAACAAACATCAAAAACCCAGAAAAAAAGAAAGAAAGAAGAAGAACAAGAAGCGAGAAATGGAACGAAAACTTCGAATATGAAAAGAAATCACAAATTGAATTACATTTTCAACCATTGAACCTTCATCGAATACAGAAAGATGCAGTGCACGAATTAATTTCTTTCCTAACTTTCCCCCGGTTCCCATCTCTCGAAATGAACAACTCCAGCCTTTCGCATCTCATGAGTAAAATTTATACAAACCTAAAAATAGTACGATTCCAAAATCAAAATTTCCGTTCATCACGAGACTCACGACACACCCCCTCCCCTCTAGTACTACAATAACAAAATTCCCATTCCATTTAAATAGCAAAAAAAATAGCTCAAAGAGAGACGAATTACAATAAGAGACTGAACGAGGGGTACGATTTCGACGAGATTGTTGAAGAGTTCACGATCCACATTGCCATTAGCGCCAGCAGCAGTAGTTGCGGAAGCTGAAATTGGTGGGATTGGGAGTGATGAGTGAGTGAGGCGGCGAGTCGGGGACGCGTTGTGGTCGCCGGAATTCCATGATTTCTGATCGCCGAAAGCAGAGTCGTCTTGCAAATCGACGAAATGTTGGGGCTCAAACATGGTTGAGAAGACGAAATCTCCAGTAATTTACAGAAGAATTTTAGAGGAATGAAAAAAACCTCTGGAATTAGCAAACCAGAGAGGAAAGGAAAAGCGTAAAGAGGAGAAGAAATTGGATAGTGAGAGTCGTTTGGGGGTCGAATTTTGAAATTCGTTTTTCTTTAGGATCATCGACAAGAATGCCAGAGAACTCTTCTTTTGCTAAAATACCCTTCCAAATTTCTATTATTTCAATTTATAACTTTTTTTATTTATTTTATTTGCCCTCAACTTTTTCAAATTTATATTTATTTAAACTTTAACAAAATATTTAATAATTGAAACTTACTCAACAATTAATATTTTGTATAATTTAAATAGTTGTGATTTCCGATTGCGACGCCACCGGTAATCTCAACCATTCATTCGGTTTCATCACTCGTCGGCAAATGATCCAACGATCCAAATCCCTCGCCCCTTTCTCCGCCTCCCTTCCAGTCTCAATCCAACCGTACCAATCACCCGCCTGATTCAACCTCAGCGGCGACGGGAGGATTTCCAAATCGGACTTCCACGAATTCGATTTCGACGACGGCGAATCTCTCACGATCATTGCAGCCCTCGGCTTCGGCTTCGGCTTCGGGCTGTTCTTCGCTTTGCGATTTCCGCCGCCAACAGGAACGTTGCGGAGGACACCGCCGATGGTCCAGTAGCGGCGGCAGGTCTTGCAGAAGTGGCGAGGCTGAGAGTAATTGTAGTTATTGTAATAGCAGAATTTGGTGTCGGGCGAACCGCACCTTGGGCACTTCCATGGCTTGGATCGAATGTCTTGCAAATCCATGTGCCCTAATTCTCCCATTGTAAGAGGTTTGAGTTTGGACTGTATATATTTAATGGAATGATGGACGGGAAGCAATTAGGATCGAGAACAGGAGAAGTCAGAGTTGAGGTCGGCAGCGGCGGAGGAACGCGGCGGAAGCGAGTGCAGAATGAGGAAACACGTGGAGGAACGGAGGAGTGAGAAGGATGGCTTTGTCGGCCATTTTTTGACTTTCAGAGCGCCACGTAAGCATGGAGAGAATGCTGAGGTGTCGGGTCAATGTATTTTCTTTTAATTCTTGTTTAAATAATTAATCTGCTTGGGTTATGAAAGTGGGGTTTATAGCTGTTATTGGTGTAAAAGATTGTGTCGGCCATGAATAATTGATTAATGCGTATTTCTTTCAACAATTTTATTTTTTATTATTATTCAGTTTCTATATAAAATAAAAAATATAAAAATATAATTTAAACCAACTCTAAAATATTTGAATTAAGTTTGACATTGAACTAAAAATATTATTTTTACAAGTTATTAGAAGGAAATGGTTCTAGTATCTGGAAAATAAAATCAATTAATTCAAACGTATTTTAGACAAAAATTCATTTATATTAATTAGGTTTGATAATTGTAGAATTTTATTTTTTAAAAAAAAGAGCCATCGTGAAACAACTTTTCTTAAATAAAAACGATTCTAAAATAATTTTAATTCTACGACTTTCCATTTTTATTCAGTTTGATATCAACTTTTCTTCGTTCTAATTCCAATGGAGTCAACGCTCCTAGGTAGATTAATATAATATATATATATATATACCTAGCAATATGCTTTTACTCTTTTTAGCTGAAGGGCCATGTTACGAGAACAAAATAATATTCCTTTAAGTTAGGTAAGTCGATTTTGGAAATGAAAATGAAAGAAGATGCCAAATAAAACGTGAAGCAATTTTTTTTAGTACGACGTATGGGCGTGGAAATCCAATTTTTTTGTTTATTGAGTTATGCTCGAGTCTAAAGAATATACCCATAACCTAAAATTAGAATATAATCAATATCTCTATTTTAATTTTAAAAAAAATTAAATTACAAATTTAGTATAAGGTGTTTTTACAATTTCATGAAATTCTGGTAAATATTCTCTTCGTATTTCTCTATAATTTATATTAAATTAAAAGTTTAAATAATAAATTTAAGATTTTGAAAACTTTTTATATAATATGAAATGTGTAATGCTGAGTTAATCAAAGCCACGTTATTCTCAAATACATATAATGTTTTCCACTAATTACGAGAAACATTAATTAATTATGTATCAATATTATTTAATAATTTTGTGATTCAGAGCCCAATAATGAAATTAGATTAAATTAAATTAAATCGTAATTCATAAATGATAAAGTCCAATTGAAGCGAATTGAAGTTTATTAATGCTTCCCAAGTTCTACACCATAAACCCTTCAAAATTAATTAGAGTATGGCAACCTAAATTCTGCCACATAATTATAAAATTATTAAATTCTACTCATTTCGATTAATATGGATATAGAAAATTTAAGGACCAGAGGTGTATGCGAGTTACGTTGGGTTCGTGATTCGAATTAATAGTCCTATGTTTTCGTGTTGGGTTAAGTTGGGTTGGGGTGTCGAATTGTTTAATTATTAAAAAAAATATTTATACACGAGGTATAAAAAATTAATATTCTTAATATTCGGAAGGATTAAATATAATATTATAAGAAAGGAAGCAATTATTTTAGCATTTATATTATATTTCTAAAAAATGATAAAAGGCTTGGAATAAAACAATTAAATATAAATGTACAAATTTGTGTCGAACATGTTTAAATTTGGAAGTCAAAAGTATTGTATATTAAGTAAATTTGAAGAATATTTTCCCTTTTTACAAAAATAGTAAATTTGAAGAATAATCAACAGCCCATTTTACGGTATTGACTTTTATAATTCCAATTTCAATCATTTTACACATTAATTAAATAACATATATATCTTGTATTTTGAAAAATATTAAATTATATGATGATTTGGGATTTTTACATAAGGTGAAATTTAAAAACTTACCAAATTAATTTCTCAATCTTATATATTAGGGTATCAAAATTAATAATGGGTGAATCTTTGCGGCATAATTTAAATAAATTTAAAAGGAAAAAAAAAGATCAAATATTAAAAATAAAAAAGTGAGTTATAACTCTCCAAAAACTAAAAAACTTCACCAAAAATAGTTATAATGTCTTTTTCTTTTGGAGGAATGCGTTATAATTAATTAAATTTTAATTTTTTTTTTACCATTCTTAAAACGAAAGTTTATTAAAAGGTAAAATTTTAAGATGAAATTAAAAGTATAGGATAAAAATTAATTATATATATGTATGTATATATTGTCAGAATGAGGGAGAATCTCCGCGTAAGAAACATATTTTAAATATTATAAACAATAAATATACGATAATAATGATGGTCCAAAAAGAAGCAATAATAATATAAATTAATGTTGTGAATTAAGAATAAATAATTAAATTCTGAGTGGTTCCCATGACAGGCCAAAAAAAATATATTAAAAAACTCAAAATCTATAATATCACCGACTGCGAATTTCAAAGAAAAAACCGCGTGGCGATATTTTAAAACTAAAGGTTATCGCGGTTTTATTGAAATATATCGTGATATTAAAGATTTCGCGAGTTATTTCACCACCTACCGAGGGTGGGTGACAGTGAACCCTACGCGAGATCTCTTTTAAGTCATATTCTCGATGGGACACGTGGAAGAATCTCAGTGGAGAAGATAGACTGAACGTGACAGTGGGGTCAACGTATCTGGGTCCGAGTTGGGACGTTTTTTATTTGCCCGTGAATCCGAGCCCACTGTGAACAGAACCCGACCCGACTGCATCTACCGGTACGGATCTCTTCTTCTTCTTCTTTTTTTTTTTTTTTTTTTTTTTTTTTTTTTTTTTTTTTTTTTTTTTTT